ACACTGCGCGAATGATAGCGCGGAGGACCGTAAAAAGGCCAGAGCGATCCATGCTACCTGGCTGCAGACCCTGGCTTATCCGGGTCAGTGGACCAGCATTCGCAAGCTTCTTCAACTGTGAGTACTTTTATACTTTCGCATTAAAACCGCTTTAGCTCTATGGTTTCGCAACACAGAATTATTGCGCGTAAAAAGCGTACAGTAAAATATTGTTTGTATAAAAAAATGTTTAAAAATAAACTGCTGGCTTCCGCTAACTGTCGTTCAGCCCCGCGCTAGGCAGTGAATCCCATAGCGCAAGCGTTTCTGTTTCGGAAAATATCGACGTCCTTGGAATTGTGGTCAAAGAATTCTTGGTGTGATAATTTAACAAAGAATGCAGTATTTTTTGGCAGGTTTTGTCTGTTTGACGCGGATGATAGTGCGCAGTGCTGGGACGCCCTGGATTTGCGGGAACTCGACGTGTCGACGCTAAATCGGTTGACGACACATGCTCTCGCCGGATGCCACAAGGAGTGAAGCACACGTTGGCTGATCAATGCCAAGCGCGCACGGTTAATAGCATGGATAGCGCCAGCGGTAGAACTTGTAGCATTTACAACTTGGGTTCAGTTTACTTTGTTAATTAATGTGTTTCGATTTTGTGGCTTTACGGTTTTGTGGCTGGCTATTGTTTGTAAACCGATTATTAAACTGTAGCAAATGTGGTAGTGCCCGCCACGGCTCAACCCAGCTTTGTATCTGCAGTTTTTTGTTTGTTGCTTTTCCTATAATTATAATTATTTTGCACCACGTTATCGGAGCGTGATAGACTGAGCAGCGTAATAGCCAGATATCAGAGCTACGGATGCCTGTCCGAGCGAACACGAACGAAACTGAAACTCCAGATATCGCCGCATTTTAATAAATAAACCATCACTTTCCATGCTACTCACCGTCACAGACCAAGGAACGCACGGATGCCGACCTACTGGTTGGGTTAATCCACCCAATGCACACACGCCCTCGTGACCTTTGCGCAGGTCTGGGCCAGCGGACGGACCTGCGTCATTAGCATTAGCTATGAAGCACAATGCACACGGCACACTGATCCGCTGGCGTCTCCGTGCAGCAGAAGCGTTACAGCGCGCAGTGGCGGGGTTCAGACATGAATCAGGTGGTGGGACGGAGCCTCCGTTCCTGTTATCAGACTAACGTCACTAACCTGAATGTTTGACGCTTATGGCAAGTAACCACATTAATTACATTGCCATGCTCAAAAGCGAATCGTGATCGTCAACGGCTTCTTCCGAAATATCACGATTCCTCTTCCTCCAAACAAATTGCTTTGTAGGACGTGCGTAAGACATACTGGCGGCTTCGTATATCGACCGTCGATTTTGTTGCTGCAGCTTTCGAAATTTACGAACCTTGGGGAAACGGAACTAAAAAGCTGGTGGAGAAAGTTGGAACGGTATAGCGACTTCCACTGGGCAGAAGCAGGTGAAAGAGTTTTTAAGCAGCGAGTATCTATGCAAATACAACGGGGAAATGCGATTTATGTAATGGGTACGCTCCCCCATCAGGCTAGCATGGAGAACGTTTTTCTGGTGGAAATGGCGTTTTGTTTTGGTACTGCCTAAGTTTGTACTTGTATTGCGATACTTATAAAGGTTTTACACATTGCTTTGTTCTTATTAACTGAGTAGCAACAGTTTATGTTACTAAAAAAGTGGATCATTTTGCCTTTTTGTGGCAGAAATCCAAGAATGGCAGTTATTTGGAAGTTCAAAATCACAGATATGAATTCGTTTGTTATATTAGTTTTCGCAGTTCCGCTCCAACCCTTTGACATTCAGATAAAAACTTCGCAGTTAGGCATCTTCTCCAAGTTAACACACGTAACAATTACATGCTGACATATCAGGTAGTGCGGCAACCCGATTATCCCTGTCGATTCATCGAACTCAAACTGGAACGACTTCAGCTATTAAGGGCAACCACACCCAACTTGTTCGCCCCAATGGGCTCACATTTCACTGTTTTCATCGGTTCCGACAGCTACATAATACGAAACTGCCTCAGTTCAGTCTTTATTATTTACACTCCAACAAACTGATTACTTGAATCCGGGAAATTATCACCGGAATCCGTACTGGATGCCGATGCAACAGGGCACTGGCAGAGCGGATGTTAAAAAATCAGTACGCGCGATATTAACCCACCAAAGTCAGCCACCTGAAGGAGTGCGAATAGCGATTTGAAAATTGGTGTTTCGTAACGAAATAATTCAATTAAGAAAAATTAAGTTTTTTTGGGAATTTTCGTGACCATAGGTCAACCACGGCGATAGCCTGCCAAACTGACAGGGATGGGCATCCTGCCATTTGACAGGGATGGTCGGGAACGGGTTAAAGCATAGTTATTTATTTATGTATGACATGATATAATGCACCTGCTGGGTGCCTGTCTTCGCGTACCCACATTGGCATAAATATAGCGTTTCCTGCCAAATTTGCTGAATATACGCGTCCGCTAAACTTTAGCGACTGTATCAGTCAGCAATCTTGTTGCAGTGGCGTGGGTCGTCACAATTCACCATGAACGTCACATCTTTGTACCTACGCCAACTCCACTCAGGGTGTCGTGAAGTCAACTACCAGAACACGGTGCTGGTGAAGCGCGACACCGGCCAATGGTGGCTGGGATATGTTCAGGATATTGACGGCGACCAGTTCTTCATTGACTTCGATGCCCGCAGTATTGACGCCGAGTGGATCCACACCAGTCACATTTGGCCACACCGTTCACTTGATTCCTCTATGCTTCGTTACGGCAAAAGTTACGGGGTGCGATTTCCGGTTGCGGTGCGGGATGTTGAGGATGGTCCGCTGGTGTTCCGCCCTGGGACGGTCGTTAAGGACATCTATGATGTCTATTTCGCTGTGCGCTGGGAGAATCACAATCCAACCGATGCAGGAAGCCTTTGTTTTGCACAGTCGACTCACTTCATCCCAGATCTGCCAGTCCCCGGCCAAGAACCAAGCTTCTTCGAGAGAACTGACGGATTTGTTTACCGTAAGCATGTTATCGGCTTCGATCAGGCCCAGTTGCTGCGTAATGTGGATTTGCTGCCCAAGTATTTATTGCGCACGTGCCGCTTAGCCTTTGGCAAAGACGACCTCGCGTGCGATGCCAGCTGCCAGATTCTACGATACGGTAATACAGACACTACTGACACCCACTGTGGGACGCACCATCGCCAGCATACGCTCAAGGTAGGTTGTCGAGTGTTTGCGCGCGTGGGGACGAACACGGTGAGTTTCGTCTGCGCCGAACTGCACGGCGACGCCGCCGGGCGCAGTCTGCTCTGGGATGAGGATGCCCTAAAGGAAGCGTGTCAAGAGTACCTCGCTGCGCAATATGTAGGAAACGCCGGAACGATCATCAGCAAGAACTGCGCAGCATTTCAGTTTGGTTAGTTCGGATTTTTTAGGCTGTTGAATTTCCTGCAGCATTACTTATCACAGCGACGCATACTCTTATTTTGCATGTGTCAAACACTTATGGTTTGCAGACGCGGAATTGCTAGATATCACAGATCTGGCCCATCCCGTTGTTGCCCGTATTTTGTATAACCTGGATATCATCACTCGCATGTGGATGCGACGGTGACCTTTTTTAGCGCTGCTTCAGCATATTAGTGTGCTATAATTAATTTTATTGTAGGGTCTGCGCGCTGTGGAGGATCTTGCTGCAGGCTCCTGCAGCCGACCGGCACATCGTCTTCGACATCCATCTTCTGTGCCAGCAACCACCTTTCAACTCTACAGATTATGACAGTTTGGGATATAAACTTGTGACAGTGCTTAATGACACCCCTTCGCAGCACACCCGCAGCATGGCTTTCATGGACGGCGGACCGCGTCCTCAGTGGTACGATAGGGCCAACCACTTCCAGCACATTTTACGGAACAGCCGGAAGATCTTGCAAGTGAGGGAACTCCGCCTGCCGATCATTATCGTCAAGAACTGGGGAGTGCTGGCCGAGGAACACGGCGATCCGTTCCTCGGCATCACTAGGAACGTTCAGGCTGGAGAGTACAAATGCCGGCAGCTGGCGCGGTTGCTACCCGTTTGCGAGCAGGTAATCCTTATTAACTACACCGTGCGCAACTCTGCAGAAAAGTTTTTCCTGTTGAACGACCTGTTCGGTGATAATGATGGGAACGCCAGCTGGCTGCGAAGGGGATACGGTACCGCTGCTGATTTCAACGTGCTTATTCCGTTTATGCGCTTCCCCTGCACGGAGACGTCAGCGGCACAGTGTCGGCGCTTCCTTGCAGCTGTTAACGCTCACTGTCCGGCCGTTAGTCTGGAAGTCCACCGGAAGGGCGAGATGGTGCGTGAGTTTTGGATGATGACGCTGCAGTTCCATCCGGAAGATTGGACCGGCATTCGCCAGTTCCTTGAGCTGTAAGTAACTGAGAAAATGGTCAGACTTTTGATTGATTTGATTGCGATCGGTATCCTGACCGTTAGGTTTAGTGGTGTTTATCGTGACGGCCGTCCACGGCGCTGGGATGAGGCGGACCTGTGGCGACTGGATACTTCGTTGCTGCTGAGTCCACTGGCTCTGCACATCCTGAACGGATACTTCAAAGGATGATGCCTGTGTTAGCCACGGTTTTTTTCACAATGATGCCCATCGGTTTTCTCACGACCTTGTGCACTTAAATGTAACATGTGAAGACTTGCTACCAAATGATGGTAGTAAGATTCCCGTATTGATGGTAGATCTATCGAGAGAACGCGCAGTTTGTTTTGGCAGCTGTTCCATGTTTATATTTACGGTAGAAAAATACAGTAAATTATCAGTGTTTCCAAGTGTTAGGAAATAGGAGATCAGTGCCACCGCCCACGATGGTGGTTGTGTGGGCGTCGCACTGACTCCACGTGGATTTTGCCATGCTTAAATCCGATGTTTCGATTTTGCTCTCACAACCACAGCCTCTCATCGACCGTGTTTTCTTGCGTCTCGGGATCTGTCGCAGTATTCCCATCTGTGATATTGTGTTTTCATTCTGGCTGTGTGTTTTATTGTCTTTTTCGAATAGCAATAAAAGATTTTTGGTTACGCGTGTGTTTTCCGTCCACACTCTTGTGCAGCGTCGTCACTCGTCACCACGCTTTCACAAGCGTTATTATCGTTACTCGCAGACCAAGCTCGTCAGTAGCTCGCCATGAACGCCACACCACGCTATTTTCGCCGGCTGTACGCGGGTGACCGCGAGGTGAACCACGGGAACACGGTTCTGGTGCGTCGCGACAGCGGCCAGTGGTGGCTGGGATACGTTCAAGATATCGACGGCGATCAGTTCTTCGTCGACTTCGACTCCACCACCACCCGCGCCGAGTGGATTCACGCCAGCCGTCTCTGGCCGCATTTTCTTCTGAACGGGGCTGTTCCAGCGTGGATTGGCTCCGCCGTTCAGGTGGCCCTGTCCACGGTGGAGGGAGGGCCCCTGGTATTCCGTCGGGGCACCATCACCGGCGAAATGTGCCTCTTGTACTATATCGTCCGTCTGGATGGGGATGAGGGAAACAGTATCGCAGTGCACCGGACCCAGTTCGTGGAGCGTCTGCCGGTGGTTGAACAGGAGTCGAGCCTGTTCGCCAAATACAACGGGTTTATGTACCGAAAGTATGTCATCAATTGGGACGGGGCGTCATTACTGCGTGACGTGACCAGCCTGCCCAGGTTCCTGCTGCGCACTTGTCGGATCGCACCGGGCCAGGATGATCTGGTGTGTGATGCCAGTTGTCAGGTGGAGCGGTTCGACGGATGGGACGCCGTGAGTTACTACTGTGTCGGGACGCACGCGCACCTGAATATTATGAATGAAGTCGCGGTTGGTTGTCGTGTGTTTGTGCGAGCGGGGTCCGACACGCTGACATTCATTTGCGCAGAAATGCGCGGGGATGTGGCCGGGCGTAGTCTGTTCTGGAATGAACAGTCTCTACGGGAAGCCTGCCATCTTTATTTTGTCGAGCAACAAGGGAAGCAAGGGGGCATCATTCCCGTCATCCACGGCGTGGATGGTTTACAGCTGCAGAATGGTGAGTCTGATAAAACTGAACCATAACTGCGCTCGATTTAGCGCATACGTTGGTTAGCGTATACTCCAACTCGTTGAATTTTTATCCAAACTTTTAGTTGATGAAAAAGCCCTGTAAAACAAAAATTTCTGACGATAATTACTTTATAAATAATGCCGTCCGCACAAGTTAGACCACAGAGTCCGGAAAAAAGCGGAAAAAAGCGCAGCAAAAAATTAATGCTATTCTAGCCGGGCAAAATGCACGGTTTTTAACTTCTTTCTTAGCGTCCTAACAATTTTAAATTCATAATTTTACTGAAGATAAGCAATAAAACTTAGAGATCCGGTTATTTGTTTGACAAAACTGGTTTGTTAGAGCCGGTATGCCTTGGCCAGTGTATAAGGAGGTAGCTTTTCGCCACTGAGGTCCACAGCTGCCTTTGCACTTTGCAGTATTCTGTACGGTGCTGATTCTTGTGAGAATAATTCAAAGAAATAAAGAAAACGAAGAAAACGTGATTTTTAATTATATCTTTCAATTCTCCTAAAAAAAGATTATAACTGACAATCAATACTTGCATGGTGCGCCAGCCGTGCATTTTGCCCGGTTAGAGCAGCTTTATGCGCTGCGCTTTTTACCGGTATACTGACTCTGTGGTCAGATCTACTGTGGACGGATACAGTAATTAACCAGTTTTGCATGCCCAAAGTCAAAAAGAAATTTAACAGAATAGTTTTATGTCAGCTCAGATGATTGTCAGCTTTCAGCGGTCATTCTTCCAGTGAATTCCGAAGCTATGCGCATGACTGACCTTTTCCATCCGGTCCTGGCGGATATTCTGCTTCATTTGGACGTTACTACTCAGTTACGGACCAGCCGGTAAATCCGCTGTTTTGCTTCGCTAACAAAAAAACTATTCAGCATGGTTTCTAAACATATTTGTTGTTAATTATCACGATTTCCATATGTACGATGATAAAATAATCAGTGCGTCACGAATTCCACTAACCTGGGTGTTGATGTCAATCAGGGTGTGTTCGCTCTGGAGGGCTTTGCTGCGGGAATTCGGAGCCCACCGGCACGTTATCGTTGAAATCCCGTGGTTTTCGGCAACGACAACCAGAAACGGAGAGCTCACCACAGAACACTGCTATCTCGTCTACAAGCTCGCAACAATCCTGGAGCAGACAGTCTCCCGGGAGACACGCACGCTGGCCCTTCTGGATCAGCGGCAGAATTATGATGAATTCACGCAGCTCTTCGTGTGCTTCCCCTGGAAAATGTCGGCTGTAAAAAAGATACTACAAAGTAAAGGCATTCGCTTGCAGCGCATAATCAGCAAAAAGGGCATCGATCCGCTCATCAAGCCGGGATCCGCGTTGCTGGGCCTGTACAATCAGCAGAACGACAATAATTACGAATGCCGTGCTTTGTCGGCGCTGACGACAGTGTGCGAGGAGATCCTGCTAATCGATTACACCGCGTCCGATCCGCGCTTCCTAAAACTCCTGGTGATCTGCCTGTTTAATCACACTGGCGCGCCGTGGCCGACGAACCTAACACACGAGGGTGACTCCATCGGCCACTCGCAACCAAACGTCGCTATCCCGTTTCTGCGCTGTTCTTCCACGGAGACGGCCGTTGAACGCCGCCGACGCTTTTTAGCCGTCGTCAACGACAACTGTGTGGCCGTTAATGAGGAGGACTATGCCAAAGTCACGGCACTGCATGCTGGCTGGTTGCAGACGCTGGCTTATCCGGAGGAGTGGACCGGCATCCGCATGTTTCTTCAACTGTGAGTGCTTCCATGGTTTTTTGTATTAAACACGCTTGTGCTATACTTTCACCGAAAACGACATCAGGCACGAAAATTTCTCCCAGTTAGTCCACACAGAAAAGTAATCTTTTATAACTGCGTGGGTAAATAAGCTTAAAGGTAGCTTCTTTGAAAGGTTATTCCAGAACCAGTTAGTGCGGTAAAAGATGTTAGATGAGAAAATGTCACTTGTTCAAATAGCCGCGTGATAGGGAGCCGAAAACGCAGCAGAGCTAGTCTTGCTTGTACAGATAGCAAAAGCGTTTATTTTAGCGAAACTACCCAAGTCAACGGAGCCTGTGTTTGAGAAGAGTTCTGTGTGAATGATTAACGTGCATTTGCAGGTTTTGCCCGTTTAGCACGACTGATAGCGCAGTGTGCTGGGATGCCGTGGACCTACGGGAACTTGACGTATCGTCGCTGAATCGGTTAGCAATACACATTCTCGTTGCATGTTGCGAGGACTGAAGTCCAAGTCGTTTATGCAACGCAGCGACGTTGGCAGAAGTGCCTCGGTCTGGGAAATTACTGTCATTTGCAGTTGTTCTTTGGTTGATGAACAGAGTTTCATGAGTTAATAGTTGACTTGGGCGGCGTCCATAGCATATCTGGTCCCTAGTTATCCCAATTATTCTGAGCGTTTCTCAAGCTATTTACTGTGCATGGTACTATCATGTGTTTGCTGTCGACAGTGCTGTACTGTACACGGTTTGTTAACGGATAGAAACCTTTAAGCCTGTCCACCGAATCCGCAAATCGAAGCACTGTTTGATAAATAAAAACGACAAAAAGCTGAGAAAACAGCAGTAGCATGTTTGCGTATCGCCGCATAAACAGAACCAACAGTGAAACCGTGCATATAAAAGGCAACGCATGCCAGCAGGGGCCAGAGTCAGCATGCAGACTGCAGAAACCACCACGTAACAGTACTTCATCAACAGTAGCAAAAAGCCATCTTATTCTTGGAACGCAAAAATCGGCTGCTGAACGAACGGCGATAATAGGTGCGTCGTTAACATGGCCCTCAGTCGGCAAAGTTTCCGTCCAGAATGTGCAGGGCCAATGGATTCAGTCAACAGCGCGACATCCAGCTACCGCCCATCGGCCAGATCCAGTCCTTCCCAGCGCTGTGGATGGCCGTCAGGGCGAACACTGCTGAACCTGCGAAAAAAATTCACCATCAAAGGATAGATGAGCGAGAGAATGCTAATTTGCGTGTAAGGTGTTCCCCACAGATCAAGGAACACGCGGATTCCTGACTACTGGTAGGAACAATACAGCGTCTGCATCCAGCGGGAACGTATCCCCGTGACCTTTGCGTAAACCTCTGGACTGACAGCCGGGCAGTAGACGTGTTCCGCTCATTAGTATGAGGCTGATGCAATCCGTCACGCTGGAACCCGATCGGTTTCGAAATGGGAAAACGGTGTGAACCGCTGGCATCATGCTCGCAATCGCCTGGACTAACGCTAACTGGCACGCGCGCACCAGGATGCTGGGCAGAAAATCCACGCCACGCAACCAAAGGACCTGATAGAAAGTGGAGGCGTATTAACCGATTCCAGCACCAGAACCCGTTCAGCTTCCCAAAGAAGTTGTTTTTGTGGCCAGGCACTGGCAGTTTTTCGACAAACTGCGCTTTACTCACGATGCGGCAGTCCACTGCGTTGATGGGTGTAGGATTACTCATGCCGAACAATTCACATCACACAGTGTCCATAATCGTCACCGGGGAGAATATCGACCCATCGTCGAGAGCCACACTGCGGCATGCAGTGAAAATACGTGATAGAACATAGAAAAGCCATTTCCCGGGCGGAAGCCAAATCTCGTATTATTTGTGCATTATATCAGTGCAGTATTACGTAATACCTGTTCATGCAGTACGGCAGTCAATCGAACTCGCCACTCAGCTGCAGCTGGCAAATACTGTAGCGGATTTGTATACAGCCAAAAGGACAGACTGTCTGGCTTTGTGCTTGCGCTGACCCCAGTGTGTTCAACCCGGAACTTTTTATAGTGTTCATATGAAAAGAGATTGAGAAAAGCGGAAGTACGTAGACCGTAGTGGTTAGTTTACGGAGACATCCGGGTTCGAGCTACGATGTGTGACTTTTATTTCAAACACCAGATTAGATTTGCATAAAACCAGTTTGCTGCAACAAGACATTTTCGTTTACAGGAGTGATTTGGTGCATGATGAGAATGGAAGACGGTTCTGGTAATCAGCAGCGTAAAGACGGACACGACGAGATGAGCCATTCGGGAGTATCGGGACTGGACGGCAGCCACGCTGCACAGGGTGATGGCCATGGGGATTACACGATTCCCGACATCCTCAAGCCCATCCCAACGGGTTTGCCGTTCCCGGTTCCGGCCGGTCGTCTGCGATCACCCAAGCTCCGTATCGCAAATCCCGCCCTACCCGACACCGTGACCATTCTCGAGCACCCTCCGTCCGGTGGGCGAGTTTACCTTGTAAGGGACAACACGCATTGGCAGTAACATCACTAGCACTATATTCATAAATCTTCGAAAGTTCCCCACTGATTCAGGACAGAGCGGGAATTTATTGACATAGACTGAGCTTTTCTTTTTTATAAAGTGGTCATTTCTATGCATTGTAGGTCGGAACCATGCATAATGCAGATAAAAGTCAGGAGGACGTCGGTTTGACGATTCGGATGGTCAGGCCGGATTCGGTGGTGGCACCGTGGTGCTGGAACTGTGTTTAGGTAAAACCGCGCCTGCAGCTTATCGATAGCCATTTTAGCACAACTGCATGCACATGTATTACTTACTAAATAATAATTTAATGATATTTTATCCTAATAATAATTGTGCAGTAATATTGATCTGTTTATCATTATGATGCTATGATGTTTCAATAATAAATATTCAAAACAAGAACTTGCAACGTTGTATATTTGCGTAACTAAATTAAGAGGATGGTTATTCATTCCTAATACACAATTACCTGCATTAAAAATTTAAGAAAATATTAACAATGTTGTTATATTCACAGTAGCGTCGTTTGCCTAAATAATTGAAAAAAATGTTTTATTTCATTGCTCTGCGCAGGAGTACCCGTAAAATCAAAATTATAGTTCGCGTGGAATATTCTTGTAGAAACACAACGGATGTTAACTCGGCCGAGCGACGATGACGTCAAGTTTATACTGAGCGAAGAATGGTATTCCATGGAACTCTGGAATTTGTGCGGCCAGCGCCTTGGTTGGCTACAGACTATCCAGGGGTTTACCCTGCAAAGGTTAGTAGCATTCTACTTGAAAACGTATGGACTTTCTGTGGACATGCGGGCTGCCTACACGGAAGCCATGTCCCTCCCCGACTGCACGCTATACCTAGCTGACCGGCCGCGGAGCATCACGCGGCAGCGGATCCGTGCCGCACCGCTGCGGGAAAGACTCTGGCTGCTCCGGATGAGGATCCGGGATACGCGTACCGGTATGGAAGCTTTCTGGCAGCAGGATGCGGAGACACGTCGCGCGCTCATGGAGACAAAGAAGGAAAAATTCGCGACGGCTTGCCCCACGGTGTACCGCGTGATGGTGCAGGAGCGGGATGTCTGGTTGGCGGAGGCGCTGAAGCGGTCGGTGGCGCAGCCGCTAATGACGACCGAGGGTCCACGCGGACGTGTGGCGGTGGGGGTGGTGGGCATGTGGCATGTGGCCGGCATCCACCGGGCCTGGAACGGTCCCCGCCCGTCGTCGGACGCCCTGAGGAAGCTGGCGGAGGTGCCACCGGCGTCGAAACTGCGGGTGTGTGCGCCCGGCATTCTTGGCGTTTTGTCGCTGTATCGTAGCGGGAGATTACTCTTTAGTCGGCTGCGTGCCCTCGGGAGAAACTGGTCTCGTTGAGATTATCTTTTTATGGCTGCCCAATTCGTTGTAATAGTGATGGCGCGGTCAGGTTTACGGTGGTGGTTTCTTCACTTTCCCATAGACTTCGTATGTTTGGTTTTTTAACAGTTTTCTTTCAAGTTTCAACCCTTAGAACGTCGTGAAATCTAACTGGTTTATGCAAATCTTCAAACTATGCCTATCGAATGACAGATAAACATTAAAGTCTGGTCCGTGTGTGGCGTAGAGAAAGGATTAGAATGCTAGAAGGGAGGTAGGTATCTGTACATTACAGTGTACTACATTCTTCTGTAACTTCGAAAAAACCGGAGCTGTGAAACAATGATACTGGAAATCTGTGAATGACATGACGATGTTGTAACGTAACGGGATAAAGCCATAAATAGCGTGCAACTGCGAACCACAGTACCAATCTACATAACAGCGGGAGATTTTAGTGTGTAATAACATTGATCTCAGTTTCGGAAGCCACTTCAACGAGCGCTGCTAGAGTAGGTTTTAAACTTTTACGTTACACCGCATTATGCGATAACTATGAGTGTTTGACTGTTTAGAAGATTATCTCGACGCCGTTTGGTGACATCAAATCCCGAATACGGTTTAATCAGAAATTTGCAAGAAATATGTTCTTTCTGTATCAGCGCAGCGACTGATCAACCGTTATGTGCAACGGTACATTGTTAACTTGGACTTTCTCCTCTAGGACCGGTTCAATCCGTACTAAACTTGGGTTGCGCGTGCGCTTCAATCTGCAAAGTATCCGTCCAAAATGTGTAAGGCCAATGGACTCAGCAGCGAGATATCCAGTTGCCGCAGATCCACTCCTTCCCAGCGCAGTGGATGGCCGTCCGGCCGAACACTACTGAACCTGACGAACAATTTACCGTCGAATTGTAACGGAACGAAAAAATGATAATATTCTGAATTTTCGCGTGATACTCACAGATCAAGGAACATGCGAATGCCCGTCCACTGATCGGGATAAAGCAGCGTCTGTACCCAGCGCGCATGCACTCCCGTGACCTTTGCGTAGACCTCCGGCCCAACAACCGGACAGTGGTCGTTGACAGCGGCGATGAAGCGTCGACACTGTTCGGCTGGCGTCTCCGTGCGACAGAAGCGGAGAAACGGAATAACCACGTTGACGTGCGCACTTTCGTCCCGTCGCCTCATCTTGTGCCCGTCGTCCAGCCAGTCGTGGTCAACATGGTAGAACAATGTGGTGAGTAACGAATTACTGGCGGAGGGAATGGATGCGGTGTAGTTGATGAGTCGCAGTTCGTCGCACACGGGCATCAGCCAGGCCAGCTGCTGGCATTCAAACTGTCCGGTCGAATCATTGCGTTTGATGCTTAGAAAGCACTGCGTCCTGCTCCCCGCCACATCGCCGCCGTTCTTAACTCTTATCAGCGGCAGGCGGACGCCCTTGAGTTTCAGTATCTGTGTAATGTGGGATACTACAGTCTGCCGAAAGTTACACCGGCTCGTGTAGAGCTGGTGATGCGGACCGTCGTCTGTAAACATCATGCTGCGAGTGTTCTGCGAAATGAGGCCGTTCAGCAGCACTAGTAGTTTGTGCGCGAAACAGACATTTTCAACGGAGAATTCTCGATCGAATGGTCTTGTAGACCACAGAGGATGGACGTCGAAGACGATATCCTGGTCAGCTGCGTGCTCCTGCAGCAAGATCCTCCAAAGCGCACACACCCTGCAAAAATACCAGCACACTTTAGTCGCCCCGAGAAATAAAAAAGGAAAAACAGAAATTCGCACTGCGATAATTTGTTGACAACTTTTCTGCTAATCGACAACTTGAGGGAGAATTTGCTGGCCCTATTATTTATGTATATATTACTTAGTATTTCGGGTGGTTTTGATGGGTGATCTGAAAAGAGGTATTTACAGTAGTTGTCTTACCGGCGCGCGCATAGGTAGCGTGTGATATTGTCCAAATTATACAGAATCTGGGACACAATCGGATGGTGCAAATCCGTAATGTTAATCTCTCCCTCATCTACAAAATAAGATAACACGAATTTGCCACAATTTCTTCATAAAAGAGACTGCCAAGTTTGTACTGCAACTGGATAATAACAATACGGCTGAAATAATACATAAGATAGAAACTCTAAAATATTAACTTTAAATAAAAAACATTAATAATTCTAAATAATAATAATAATTCTAAAATAATATCAAGCTGGTGTTTATGAAAACAATGTGTTTAAAATTCACTTTTGCGTGCTCTCGCTCAGAGCAAAACCGAATTTTAATTTAACCGTAGAGCTCACTCGAATGACTAACCAACTTGAAAGGTGCTGATTCCACAACTGCTAGAGATGACCTGGCCGGCACTCCCCAATTGTCGCTCAGCGAGACAGCTTTGGCACGCTTCCTGCAGAGACTCTGTATCCCAGAACACACTGCGCCCATCGGCGGCGCCTTGCAGTTCCGCGCAGACGAACGTCACCGTATCCGTCCCCAATCTAGCAAACATCCGGCAGCTCATATCCAGCGCATACTCCCGCCGCCACCGGTGCGTCAGACACCGGAACCGAATGGTGTACGATTCCGTGAGATCGCACCGTATTAACTTACAACGGACACTGCACACAGGATCATACTTGCCCACCGCTAGGCGGCACGTGCGCAGCATATACCTGGGCAGGGCATGCGCATCACGCAGGAAAGGCGCTTGTTCGAAGTCGATAACATGCTTACGGTACACGAGTCCTTCGGATTTCTCGAAAAAGCTCGGGTCTTCGTTGGGCACCGGCAGTTTTCGGACAAAATGAGATGGATGTACGAAACAAGGACTGTCTGCGTTGACCGGACTGCGACTGTCCAGTCGCACAGCCAAGAATATGCCGCCACATACGCCCTCAATTATCCTCCCAGGACGGAAGATTAGCGGGCCATCCTCGACATCCCGCATCGCCACGTGCACGGAGGAGCCATCATATGGACGAACGTTTCCCAGGAAGTAGTGCGGCCAGATACGCCGGGAGTGAATCCATTTGGCGGCGAGGGAGCCGGCGTCGAAGTCTATGAAGAACCGATCGCCGTCAATGTCCTGCACATATCCCAGCCACCATGTGCCGTTGGTACGTCGCACCAGCACGGTGTTCCCGTAGTTTACCTCACGACAACGGGAATATAGTTGTCGAAGGTACAACGATGTGGCGTTCATGGTATCATACTGTATTGTGGAAATTCCCATCGAATCAGTTACACAAGTCGACGGTGTGTCGTAATGCATGAAACCACCGCTCTTGTCAGCAGCCGCAGGTCAAAGAATGGCGGGTAATATTAAGCTCTACTGCTGAGATTGCTTAGCTTAATATGCCGTTTTCAGTAATGGTAATCGGACCGCAAAACATAATGCACATTTTGCACAGTCACTGCTTTTATCACATTTAAATCGCAGTACCGAATGCGGCGCGCATTGAACATTTTCCGTTCCAGTCTGGTGAGCATGCACGTGCATAGCGAATACTCTGATAGTCTGAATAATGGAGTCGGATGGACCAACTCAGCGAGTCTGAGTAATGGAATGGTACTCCGGTTTCTTAAGCTTTATTGCGGTGAGAGAGACCACCCATCAGCCGGCAACCAGAACAACTCCCCATAAACTGTACGACCTTTTGCCCTACCTTGCAGCAAAATGATATTAGTGATCCGCATTTCTTATTGCGATGACCAGCGCTTCAGCTAAAGTTTGGCCAGGCACACAGCTTGCGTGCGTTAACCACTTCTTCGAATCCGACAGAGAACTAGGCCGACATATGCACTCGAATCCTTTCTCGAACAGACATTGTTGCGGCATCATATCCGTCATCCGGGAGTGGCTAATTTAGAGCTTACCGTACAGGGTGTCCATTAGCAGTCCGTTGCAAAACGTGATCATTAATTTATATTCGGCGATCACTCGAACAACCAGTGCCGAAATATCATGAACGCCACAGAGCGATACTTGCGCCAGCTGCACACTGGAACGCGGGAAGTCAACTACGGGAACACGGTGCTGGTGCAGCGCGACAACGGGCAGTGGTGGTTAGGATACGTTCAGGATATTGACGGCGACCGGTTCCTCGTCGACTTCGACTCGAGTACCGCCAAAGCCGAGTGGATTCACTCTCGCTATCTCTGGCCGCACCGGTTTCTCGGTGGGGATTTCACTGCACATGTCGGCTCCGCCGTGCACGTGGCAATGTCCTATCGAGGGATAGGACCGATGGTGTTCCGGCGGGGCACCATCACCAACAATCTCTGCCTACTCTACTACATTGTTCGCTTAGATGCTGACGAGCACAGCCGTTCGCCCGGCAGCTACATCGTGCACCAGAATCGGTTTGTCAAGCGGTTACCGGCGCCAGACACGGAGCCGAGTTTATTCCTGACCGTACGCGGTATCAAATATCGAAAATATGTCATCAAATTCGACCAGGCGTGCTTGCTGCGTGACGTGGTTAGTCTACCCAAGTTGCTGCTGCGTACATGCCGGCTCGTTATACTGGACAGCGGTGGCTTGGGAGGTGGATGTGATGCCCGTTGTGAATTTAAGCGTGTGGAGGAATGGGATGTGGTGGAATTCAAGTGCGCCGGAACGCACGTGCCGCGGGAAAATTACGAGGTTGAAGTTGGCTCTCGTATGTTTGTGCGAGTGGAATGCGACACGGTCACTATGGTTTGCGCCGAACTGCACGATGACAGGTTTGGACGTCTTATGTACTGGGATGAAGATGCCCTGGAGGAAGCCTGCCGCAACTACCTTACCGAGCAACAGTTAAAGCAAATAGACGGCAATCGTGTCAGCCATGGTGGCATTGGTTTTCCACAGCATTTGGGTGAGTTTAGTAATGGTGCCGCTAAATGAATTTAATAAAACAGAAGTCAACCGACAACCATTTCGCCGAAATATTTAATACCGATTGTATAGGTAATCGGACCTAGGTAGACATGTAGTTATTTCTTGCGATTACATTTTTTTGTTTTGCTCCGATGATGTCGTATCGCAAAACAAACCACATTTATGAAATTAATGATTTTTTTCATACCGGAGGCATACCGAGTAAGCAAAAATTTGAGTTCAAATAGTTTTCCGATAAGACTTCACTGAGCAGCAAAACAAGAAGACCTAGGTGCCTTTTCAAAAAAACGTCTAGCGCTGCCAGTGCTTGATATCAATCTTTACCTACGCAAAGGCGCAGTCGTGTTGCTTATCTGAAACGTGAAACCTAATTATTCGTTCGAAGTTGTGATATCACCACACTCATTCATACTTTCATAGCATCTCCAGTTTACTAGCTTTGGAATTTATAACTGTAGAAAGAGCACTGTCGGTGTCCAAGCCGGGCTAAAAAATGAACATATAAAGGTACAGATACAGGCAGAGTGAAATGCGCGCTTGGAATGATTGCCACGAATGACTGTACCTGAAGGAAAGCTGGCAAAATGAAGATCTCATTTGCCAATGGGTTTATCTGCTCACTGAATAAACTAAATTAATACACAGCACTTCTATGAGTCCTAAAATGTTTTGCTTGCAGTCGCTATTGAAGAATTGCGCATAAGTGACCTGGAGAATCCGATCGTGGCCGATATTCTGCTTCATCTGGACATCGTTGCTCAGTTACGAGCGAGCCGGTAAGTT